TATATACATATTATATCTGTATTCCCCACCCGTTGCCGAGCAGACACCGTGATGCGTTATTCCTGAAGCGCGGGTTTCATTTATTTCGTTACGCTTATTAATTCCAATCGAAGGGCCCTTATAAGGCCTGGCACGCCCAAATTTCCACACAACACACTTATCGCCCAAACTAACACAACGCGCTGCCGACCGAGCGATTCATTCATAAAAATGTTCACCCCAGGATTTTAAAGCTTTAACACCGATACCCACGCCTTCAGCGGGCACTTCTTGCACAGACCACGTTGCCTTCTATTCGGGGCAGCAGCAGCCGTAACACAAATCGAAGTCAGCGCGGAATTCGGGACGAACTTCCTGCGGACACACAACCAGATGCCTGGAGATTTGCACGGGGACTGAACCCGAATCCGAGTCCGAGTCCGAATCCGAATCCGAAACGGAACGGAACGAGTCTGTTTGGGTCGCAGCAGCCGCCAAATGGAAGAAGCTGAGCAACTTCGTCGGCAGCGAAAGTGAAACGTAACGCATACGCAGCGTTGACCCGCTTCCCCACATGGTCAGCCGAAAGCTCTAGCCCCTTGCGAGCTTTCAGAGCGGCAGTCCGGAGAGCAAGGACACCGAACAGCTGACTTGTGTTATTAAATGCGCCGCCTTGCCGGGCCTCGAGAGTTGTTATTGCCACGGGTCCGCCTATTCCATCGCCAAGCAGTTTTGTTTATGCAAAGTTCTGCAGAGGGGTTATTCAGTAATTGATTGCAATACACTACCATTCGCCAGCGATTTTGACTGTTGGTGACACCCAAGGTCACCCAAGGTAAGCCGATTCGGCAATACATGAAAGCTTATAGGGCAAACATTTATGTCCTATGTTTTCGCTAGCATCTTAACTTATACTATACACAATTAACGAATGGGCTCTTGAAAGGGAATCAATAATGTGTAGGGTTAGATTATGTAATTATGTAATTAGTTTTATAAGCATGCACTCTGTAAGAATGTAGAGACGTGATTTGTTAGAAGTCCAAATGGGAAAGACAAATGGAATGTTCATTCATAAAAAGTAGGATTTCATCTTATTACTATTACTTAATTTAATGGGAAATAAATTATGTGTATGAGGCACGGAAATATTTATTTTTTCTATGATAGTTCACAGGTTCTAATGGCAAAGTATTATAACTAATAATCTTTTAAAATAAGCACTAAATCGCATCTCGATCAAGATAGAAATGAGTATAATCGGACTATCGTAGCTGATTTTCGGTTATATGGATCTTCCTAGCAATCCCTTCAGCATCACATTCTCGGTGCTCATCGTCACTAACTAAAATGCCGTTCACTGGGATATCCAAAAGCTAAAACTTACTACAAAAGCTTATGAAAGTTATCAATATTAAAGAATTTGGCACTTAAGCTCAACTTTGTAAGGGATAGCGTTTAGGTTTTTAGTTGAGACGGAAACCTTTGAAAGGTAAAATGTAAAAGATTTTTGCCATTTAGGTCATGTGTAGCGAATTGAAATGTTTTGCATTTTTACAGAAGCTGTTACCACTTTGAAGGCAAATACTAAATTTGAAATATGATTATCCTTTATTATAATCTCACTATAACTATACAAAAAGTTTTCTATTCATTCAGAGCAAAATAGACTTTTGTACAAATAGTTAAAAAAACAAACCTTATAAATTGTATCCAAAATGGCAAAAATAATCTTATTTAGAAGGAAAAACAAAAGAGACGGGTCCTCGACTATCAGATACCAGTTACTCATTCATTAGTTGTAAAAACGCAAATGTTTACATTAAGGTCGAAAACTGTTAGAAACCTGAAATTTGGAAGAAAAAGAATAGCCATTTTCGCAAGACCAACGAAAATTTTGGTTTTCCACAATGTCCTCCTTGCCATTTCATTATATAAATATTTTTGCTAGCTAACAAATTTTGAAAATCGAAAACAGTGATAAGCATCATTTAATCGTCCGTATATACATATCTCAACATATATTTCTGCAGAATATGTACTGTCAAACCAAATTTTTGGGAAAAAATTAAAAACTTGTTTTATCTTAAGAATCGTATTTATATACACTATTTTGAATACATTAATTTATTTTTTACTTGTATGTTCTCCTTTATATTATTTCAAAGAAAGCAAATTATTCTTCGTTAAAAAAAGTGAAAAGCCCACGAACAGTTCGTTACAACATGGCAAACTTCAAGCGATGTAGTTGATTGTGTACGTTCATCTACACAACATATTCAGCTGTTGTTTTTAAATTTTATGTTAAATTACAATTTTTTATTTTTTATGTACATTCCATTATGATTTTTAATTTAGATTCACATTACATTTGTGTAGAAATCATATATGTCTAAAACAGATGGCTTGCAACAGCGTGGCTAGCAGAGAGTAAGTTGTTGTTTAGTGTTTCAGGCTCGGTTAGGCTCTATGATTTCCTTGATAGTCTTGAGGCTACCTAGTACCGCCAATATATTCGTCGCACATCCACGCGAAAAATTGTAGTGACAGCCAAGCCCTTGGCGGCATCCCGGATACCACCATCAACAATCTCAATGCGTTTGAAGCGTTTCCGACCGTATCAAGTATCAGATCAATAAGCGAGTCGATCTGGCCATGTCCGTCTGTCCGTATGAACGCCTCGATCTCAGGAACTATAAAAGCTAGAATGTTGAGATTAAGCATGCATCTTCCAGAGACAAGTGTATTTCCAAATGTTGCCACGCCCACTAACTTGTACGTTACAAGCTCTCTTTCTACATGCTCTCTTTCTAATAACTCGTCCTTTAGTACGCGGTAATTTGGAAAGTAAAACTGCAAGTTTCAAAAATCCTTGGAAATATCGATAAAAGTTGAAAAGAAGAGTAATGAAATAAAATGAAATCAAAGCATTTTTAACATTTTTTTTCGAGATAGAATCACGTGTTACAGTTTTAAAAATTAATTCTAAGTTTATGAGATAACATTCGATTTTTTTCGATGTCGGCCATGCTTCCTACCATATCCAAGTCAGATCTTCAGCGAAGCTTGTGGCTAAGCCGATTGGAGTTATCCAAATGCAGTAAGCCGCTGAGCATACCAGACCGTCGTCGTCTGGATACATCGCATACATCTGCAAAGAGGGTATTCGAATCCTTGACGATCGGAGTTTGTGTACCAGTGGGTTGCGTGTGTCTCTATAAAACTCAACCTGATTGTTGAGTTGCTGCGATGTGATGAGTCTATGCATCTCGTCCAGCGCTCCCTTCGTCCAGGACGTTGTCCTGTGGTGTGTTAGAGATGCTCTATCTAGAAAGAGATAGAAGCTAAATGAAATTAGGCATGCCTATATCATGATCGTTAAATGTCACGCCCACACTTTTAAAAAATGTTTTAAGAATTAGAATTTTTTTGTTAAATTTGTAAATTTCTATCGATTTCCCGAAAAACTTTTTGTCACGCCCACCTTAACGCCCACAAACCGCCAAAAAGTGTCACGCCCACACTTTTTTTAAATTTTAAAGTTTTTTTTTACTTTTATTCTTTTCTCCCCAATTACTACAGATATTCCAGATAATGTTGAAATTTCTCGTTCCCACTAGCTGAGTAACGGGTATCTGATAGTCGGGGACTATAGCATTCTCTCTTGTTTTTCATTCAGTTTCTTTAATTTATCGGTTTGACACTGTTAGATATTTAATAATTAAATTTAAGAATTTCATTATAAATTCCATACATACAGGGTCTGTATACCAGTGTAGGAATGAATTTTCTTTGGATGTAATATTCTGGGTAAAAAGTAGCGTTTTAAATTAAAAAAATCTTTTTTTTAAAACAATACTTGAATTAAACTTATACAATCAATTTATATATTTTTTTAATATTTTTACTTCAGCCGATAAATTCTCTCATCGCAATCATAACCCTGCATTTTTTGTGACCTTCCCGTAGTGCCGAGATCTTCACGCTGCTGGATATTTCCTTTTGGAACCTCTTTTTACTTATTTATATTTTTCACCAATTAAATTAAATTCCAGCTTCTTCTACTAAACGATAGTAAGGGGTGCTCCCCGGGACAGCGGCGAAAGCGTTTTTCCCGGGACAGCTTGACTTGAGTTTTGCCTAAAAAGTTAGAGCCTTCGCGTAAGCTAAGCTAATCACTTTCCCCCGGTAATCACTACCCTTTGAAAACCCTGGCCAAACCTTGGGGGCTTGGAGGTGACGCTGCTGGCTGATGGTAGATTCAATTTCCGCCTGGGAAAACATACACACAAAACATGTTTTAGACCGCGAACCGTTATGGCGGAGAGGTAAACTCACTTGATTTATTTATTAGAACTGAATGAATTTGATGATTTTTCTAAAAAAGAAAAATCTTTCTTGCCATAAGGTGAAAATCACTCCATGTCTTTCCAAAACTCCTCTGGTGCAGCTGATAGACTTGCATCTTGGTTAGTATATTCCGGACAACTAATATTGCATTTAATAAGACCGTTAATTAGGCGCCCTCAAGCTTAGCTTATCATAGCTTATCTATCTGGAACAGACTTTCAGGATGTTCTATTCTATCTGCTTCAGTCGCCACCACAAACTTGTGCACGAGGATGGAGCATTTTTAATTTTCATGTTGTGAACTTGTTCTGTTGGCATAGCTATAGAAATTTGCAAGAAAAATAGTGAAATCCGAAGATTTTCCAAATTCTGCGGGTAATATTTTTTCGTGGTTTGTGGGCTTTATTGTAGCCTAAGAATTTTTGGCATATCGATACAATCTGGCAAGATACAATAACAAAACAATATTTAAAACTGTGATCGTGCCAGTTTTCGGCGGTTTGTGGGCGGTAGAGTGGGTGTGGCACAGTGATAATAGGAAAACATCCAAGAAAAGGTTTCACCACGTTACATTTTATTTAAAATTCCCAAAGCTGAAAATAATTCATAAATTGTCCTGCCCTTTTGGGGGTCTTTAAGTCTAAGGAATATATGTATCTTATGTACATGTTATCTGGTTTTTGGCCATAAATGGATCACTAAGGTCGTTGATCGCCTATCTTTAGGTACCCGTCTTAGTTTTCGATAATTCGGCGTATTGTTTGGCGAATACGAATCGGTGATATTGTCTGGCTAAATTGGCGCACTGCAGGGGTTCGTTTGGAAACCGTTGGTAGCAGTGAACTAGCTCCTCCTCAAATTTTCCGATCTCGCCCTGGCAATCCTTGGCCCATTTTACAGGTGAGCCGAATAGTTCTTGAACCAATTTTAAGGACTTTCCAAACTCCTTTTCTTCGACTTCAAAAGAACGTTTTTTCCAGGACTTGGCAACCGGAACTGGATGCAAGGCTCGATATTTGTGCTGCTTATGTTCCATCGTACTGGGAATATCGGAACCTGGTTCCTTTATTGGTTTCTGCTTACATGATTCACAGTGGGTACATCCGAGTTCAGTACTTATGGCATTGGCCTGATTTATTCTATCCACCACATCTCGAGTAATCTCAAATGCCGTTGGATTTTCAATCTGCACCGTTTGCGGCTTGCTGTTCCTTGCACCCATATTTGGGAATACTTCCTGATTTGTTTATTTTGTTTTCCGTTTTGGAGTGACGGATAATTTAACCCACTTGACCACAAAAGCAAAGATAGCTTACATATTACCTCTTTTGAAAGGCGGAACCATTACTATACCCGTAATTCAAAAAGTAAAGGCGTATACTACATTCGTCGTAAAGGAAGCGTTTCCGACCGTATAAAGGATATATATATTTTTGATCGGGATCACTAGCCGTGGCAACCTAGCTATGTCCGTTTGTCCGCCCGTCTAAATGTCGAGATCTCTGGAAGTATAAAGCCAAATTTTAGTTTAGGCATGCAGCTTTTAAAGAGTAAGCGTCTTACTTCTAAGCTGTAGCCCAAAACTTCCAATTCCATATATTTGAAAAATGTTTTGATTTTTTTCTTTTTTATATTTAGCTCGCTAGCTCTATAGTTATGCCAAAAACATATTGCTCACGCCCAATCTGAAGCTTCAATATTTTTCATGCGAATTACTAAAATAAATTTAAATAATAATTACCTAGAATGAGTGAGTACCTTATAGTCAAGAATATCTAATATCTTTTTTTTTTTAGCATATTACGTCTGGATATTAAAATTACGTTATGTTACTAAAATTAATTCTTTGACACTTTTTAACAGAAAAAAAATTTTTAAAGCTTTACGACGGATTTTTTAACACTTGTTTTCAATACGAGTTGGCTAAATTTGCAATTGCAGAGCTCTTTATATTCCACAACTATAACACATTTTTAAAGCAAGTATGTAGTTTTATATAGCCGCATCAAAAATATATGCTTTTCAAACAAGAAACAAGTGACTAGCACCTCGACATGCAAAAGTTCAACTTTTCTGACAAGAAATTAATTTACATACAATCGACTGAATAAATGCATTAAGTAAAGTGCATTATGTGCAGGCCGTGAAATCAGAAGACTTAATTAATTGCGCAGAACCTGCACAACATTCAATCAATGCAGGCCATTAAGCCCTCAGGAGAGCCTTTCCTCAACAAAAGTAATTGTGTGCTATAATTTCTAAGAAACCTGCAACAGCACACTCGGAAATACAGGTTTTTGTTACGGACAGGATGAGGAATTACCTGGACTTCATGATGGCAAATGATGATGCTGTGATGAAAGCAAACGTTTGCTTTTTATACTGCAAACACTTGCACTTGGCGTTGAAGGTATAAAGAAAACTAAATTCAGTTTGTTTAGGGCTGAAAGCGCTCCTAATTTGCATTTGACTGACCAAGTGTAAAAGACGCAATTCAAATATAGCAAAGACTCAGGAAATTAAAAAACCTGTTGCTAAGCCCACCACCATTTTCACAGAAGTTAAAGTGGCTCCCTTTATATGGTCATATGGGCCTCAGATTCCATTCGTAATTAGGCCCCAGAGCTATCAGGGCACTTAAAAACACATTAAAAATCTTTCTAGAACAGCGCCGCTGGCCACCAACCAAGCAAAGTTACAAATCGCTGTGCATAATGAACAGGATTCGGTTTCCGATCCTTTCTCCGGGCCCGGAGCAACAAATTGGCGCTATAATTGTGCACTATTCTATTCCATTGTGTGGTGTGGTGCGAATGCGATTCAATTGCTCGCCAAATTGCAATGCCTTGTGTGGGGCGGGCCTTAATTAATTGCGTACTATCAGAACCTTAGAGGTTTCTTACAAAAGGAAAATTAGGTGGCCGGCCCCAGGGCCAGCAGTCATTACGCATCGCCCATGTATTCCAGAGGCGGAGTAAGTAGAAATGGGCTCAAAGCATTTGCTTGTCAGTTGTATTTAGGGTAATCTTCATTTCCCCCGGTACACTGTAAATAATGGAAGCCATTTAGGTATCAACAAGTTTTGCAGCATGTATTATTTTTGACAATATTTATTTTCAAGATTATAGTAGAATGAGATGATGGTATTCGATGCCTTTTTCTATTGTCGTTACTCGTAGAGTAAAAGGGTATACTAGATTCATTGAATAGTATGTAACAGGCCATATAAAGTATATATATATTCTTGATCAGGATCAATAGCCGAGTCGAACTGGACGTGTCCGTCTGTCCGTCCGTCTGTTTGTCTGTCCGTATCAACGTCGGGATCTCAGGAACTAGAAAGTTGAGATTGAGCATGCAGCTTCCAGCGCAGGGCGAGTAACGGGTATTTGATAGTCGGATAACTCGACTACAGCATTCTATCTTGTTAAGAGTTTAAAAGAGTATGTACTTCCTGTAATTCCTGTATGTAATTCCTGTAACGTGCAACTTACCGAAAAGCTTGCACTCATTTTAGACAGTCGGTGAAAAGTTTTTCAAAAGGTGTGAGTGGCAGTTTTGGGCACGGCCAGTAAAAATGGCCATGGTCAAGAATATACACATGTATATACTTTATAAGGCTTTATAAGGCCACCTGCTGCATACTTTTTAACGAATCTAGTGTGCCCTTTTACTGTGCCCGACTGCAAAAAGATGTCCATGCCACAAAAAGGGTTTCGAGTAATTGGTCAACAATAAATATTTACGTACTCATTAAACTTTTTACATTAAAGTAATAAAGCAACAGGAGAGTGAGCTCTGGGCAAATCCGGACCTTGAACTACGTATGTTAAGCAGTTAAAACAACACCCAAAACAAACAAGAACTGCAGTATCACGCTTAAAACTTTTTCTCATTACCAAAGTTTGCCCAGGTGTCTATTTCATAACTTTTTATGAATGTTCCCATTCGAAAAATTGTCGGCAGGTGGATTTTGAAAATTTTATTTGCACTTTTAAAAATATAATACATATACATGTGGGGCGCCTCACAGATTTTTAGCGTTGGGACGGGGCGCTTCAGAGCTCAGCTCAGGAACTATTATTATGTAAATTTGTTTATCTTTCTTTACAATCTTCATAAATAAGATAATATAAATAATCTTGAAATATATCGTACGTTCTCCCACAAGCTATGTAACGGGTATCTGATAGCCGAGAAGCTCAACTATAGCGTTCTGTCTTGATCTTTAGATAAAACTGTTTAACAACATGAGACCTTTATTAAATTCCAGTGACTCGATGTAGTTTACGATGCACAAATTGCGTGTATGGTCTCAAAAATTTCGAATAGCCATTCCCTTTTTGTCACTGTAATGTAATTTTATCATCCTACATCCTGGTGTAAGCGTTAAAATCGTAATTTGTGATCTTTGTGATTTTTGCCCATGCTCCAAGAAATTATCAACTTTTTTTATCAACAAGTGAAATTTATTTGCAAGCCTTTAAAGCTTTTTCCCTAAAATGCGGCAGGCAACCAGCAGGCGACGTCAACTACAAATTTCTGTGGCTCTTTTGACAGCACTTATTTTATACCCGTTACTCGTAAGGTTAAAGGGTATACTAGGTTCATTAAAAAGTATGTAACAGGCAAAAAATTTTATTTATTTTATTTTGCTATAAAATTTATCGTTCGCGCTTTCACTAGCTGAGTAAGGGGTATCTGATAGTCGGGGAACTCGACTACAGCATTCTATCTTGTTTGTGAATGCTTTAGAGGTTTTTATAAGGTACTTTCTGGGGCGCTGGCAACTATGTGGCATGCGACATTTGTTCCTTTCTTGGGGGTTACCCCTTTGCTCTTTATGCCCCATTCATTGTTCCAAGTACAACAATGTGGCAGTAGGTGAAGTGGGACGAAAACCGGTTTCATGTTTGCGTGATTTTTGTGTAACGCTGCGCCACATGACGTATGAGTGATTGATGTCCAAGGCGCCATACTCACCAGACTGCGTACAAGTCATATTGTGCGAATGCTTTAAATTGTAATTTAATTGCACAAACATATCACTGCTAGGAACTATAAAATCAAAGCCATTTCATACCCGTTACCCGTAGAGCAAAAGGGTATACTAGATTCGTTGAAAAGTTTGTAACAGGCAGAAGGAAGTGTTTCCGACCATATAAAGTATATATATTCTCGATCGGGATCAATAGCCCAGTCGATCTGGCCATGTCCGTCAGTCCGTCCCGAGTGCCCGACTATCAGATACCCGTGACAGTTGCAGTTTTGGGAGGGGCAACACCAGGAAACAAACTTGCAATGTGGAATGTGCATAGAAAACTAGGTAATTCTTTTTGCGTGAAGTATAGTGGTGCTACAGTGATCGGTAGAAGCCTCATCTCCAGCGTTCTCCAGTCAAATAACCCAGCTCATGTATTCATAAAAAAGAGCCTAGCACATGGAAAAACTTTTCGTAGCCTTCAATAGAGAACAGGCAGAAAATTTCCCACTATACCTTACACAAGACCGTTTCACATCGCGGAGCATGAAACACAGGGAGAAAACTATGAAATGCCGACTGCTGGCTTCCACTGGCTTTTCTGAGTCAATCAGTTTGTTTTGAAATTTCGTCGCGATGCGTTCGCCCTTAAAGCGTTCTCTTCACTAGGCCAAAAAATAAATGTAAATAAGGGACTGGTTTGATAATGTTGACTTCGCAACAGCTGTCAAGTGCAATTCCCATATTAAAGCTAATAAATAAAAGGGGGAAAAAGAGGAAAAAGCAAATGTGCATTTCTTAAACAAATGGAATGGCAGCCATGGAAATGAAGTTCTATATTTATGCAGTCGTATATGCTCATTATAGAGTCATCCCAAGTGCTTAAATACAAAATGAAATAAGGAAATCTAGTGGAAATGGGGAAGGGAGCTAATTACGTTTTGTCCTGCACTCAAAAGAAGTACAAACATATAATTAAAACTCACAAAATTCGGCAGCTGAAGCTTAGTAAATGAAAAAACTTGAAAAAAGAGATGTATCCCGAATAAAGCCATTTTATGTTAAAAAAAACAAACCTATTATTTCCTTTCTATTATTATATTTTCTTATTCTCAATTCATTTCTGTTCTTTTCCAGCATTGACCAAATTTAAGCAAAACTTGTATAATGTCAAAAAACAGGAATTTAGTTCCCCTATTTTTTATACCCTTACTCAAAGAGTAAAATATACATATCCTTGATCAGATTCACTAGATTCACTACATTTTGAATTACTTCCTGGAACTCCTATTAGCCGATTGCGGTGCAAATTTCTGACTGGTATCTACATA